CGCCACCAAGGGGTATATCGCGCACGACCCAAAGACGATGCAGGCCCAACGAAGATGGCCCAAATGCGGAGCAGCCCAACATATGAAGGAATAGGGCGCGCGGATCGCTCAACCCGTGTCCAGCCCGCGCGGCCCGAAGCCTTCCACAGCCTCAACCCGCGCGCGACCCGCGAGGCCCGAAGCTGGCCCGGCGCTCGGATCTAGTCCACCAGGGCTCTTGTGCCAAGCAGAGCGAACCATTTTCCTTGCCCGTGGCCCATATCCGTTCCCAGCGCAACCCAGCACGCGCCAAACCGGTCCAGTGTATCCAGACAGAGCCAGGGAGTACCAGACCAACCCAGGCGGTCCAGGAGCACTCCAGACTGGTTCAACATCGTTCCAACACCCGATTGCAGTCCAAATTGAGTCTCGGGAGGTTTGACCAAGTCAACAGAGATCCCGAATGATCCGACATGGACAGTGAGCGATCCAATGGTGATGGTAAAGCTAGTTCGGCTGCCCACAAGACATGGGATTTAGACGATTTCCAACAACGGATATCAGAAACGTCTCAGAGTCGGCAAAATTTAAAAAACGATACGCGTTGAACCCTCGTTTCTAGTTTCGCTGCGCTTAGGGTTTAATTCGTAGATAGTCCTTGACTTGCACATTGTGGAGATCCTCATAGATCCCAACAATCCTAGCTCCCAGGAGATGGATAATTCGGCCACATGTCTCAAAAGTGTTATCCTATCGGGTGTCTAGAAAGACGTAGGGTTGGGTTGAGGGGGTTAATGGGCACCTTGACCCGAAAATCTATCAACAGATCACTTGGCTGCTCTTGATAGGAAGTGGTTGAGATACTAGACATAGTGGGCGGAGGATTTTCGTGCAAGAAAAAAGGGAAAAATGAGCAATATTGGGGTTTCCTAGTGAGGTTAGATAAATAGTAAGAGAAAGAATACAAAAGAACATAAGAAGGAAAAAATCAGAACATACCAATGAGTTGATCCAGAAGGAGGTTGAAGAGAAGTGTGAAGAGATCGCCAAACAAGGATCCCCAAAAATATTGCTATTGAAAGACACTTTCTGCAGGGAAGGGTTAAATGCATAAAGAAGGGTGAAATGTATGAAGCATGGAAAATGGGTTTCATAAGATCAGAGAAGTAACAACCTATTAAATCTAACCGTTCGAAGATACACGATTTAAGAATCTCGTAATGCTAGCTAGAATCTGGTATGACGCATACATGCGCGTGTCGAAAATTGGGATATGAGCATGTAAAAAGTCCTTTTATTAGTGTCTTGCGCTCTCCCAGAATGTCCAAAGTACATTAAATGAGAAAGAAGGCCAGAGCAAAGGCTTAAGCACAAGAGTTCCATTTCAGCACAAGTCTAGTTAGCTCGTTTTAAAATGGATGGGAGGGCAGTTGGAGGGGTGGGGGGGACAAATGATGTAGCACTCAGAATAGCTCGGCAGACCAGCCTGAGCAGGTAGCTCGGCTAGGCTGGTTAAGGAGAGCTCTCGCATGATCATATATAAACTATTCGGTCAGGTAGCTCGTATGCGAACATAGGGTACCGACCGACCTGGGGGTGCCGACCTCTAGGAGCCTAGCAATACAACGAGGTATCGAGTTTGTATGACCCGATGACAGATTAGAAATCAGGATAAGGTAAAGTTATACCTTAGAACGAGGTCGAGTTCAACCTGAAATGGGCCACAACAGATAAGTCAAAGTGGTTAGAGTTATGATCTAAGGATCTATGACAATGAATGGTGAAAGAGTCTAAGTAAGAAGGAAAGAATAACTTGCTCAATGACTATTGTCTAGAAATAGACATGGTAAGTTAGAAATTAAGATTTGGTTGGAACTCTTCCCTAACAAAGACTTTCTTAAGCACCAAAATAACTACCATATATAAGGGTGATAGGTTCTTGGTTCTTCTTCATTGTGTTCTAGGTTTTTGCTATGAAGCCAACAGTTGGCTTTATAGTAGAGTCAACCTTCTATATACAACAAGTAAACTACCATTTTATTTGAGAACTTAAATAACATTAATATAATTTTATTAATATGATAGGTTTATTTATTGTAGATAGAAGGTTGACTCCACTATGAAGCAACTGTTGACTTCATAGCAAAATCGATGTATTCTTTGTGTACATGATCAAATGATCATTGTCTCTCTCTTTCTTGTTGCCTTAGAGGAACATCCAACTAACCGCAGCTTATGAACATCAAGTGGCGGCGCCACCGGCCGCCGTCCAGCCTTACCTTTTAACACTTCAAATCAAGGTGAATTCTCGTCTCTCTTTTGATTCTAATCACCTACTCACTTCAACACCGTACTACAATGCACTTCCCAAACCTCACTTGAAAACCCCAATTTTCCGAAGCCTATGCTTCCTCTAGAATTCGACCCGTGAAGCGAACTCTAGAAACCCTAATTCGAGCAACTGATGATGTCCGGGCCGCCGAGGGCGAAGCCGATGCATTTATCTGAACCGGAAGCTCGAACTGTGCTCGGGCCAGCAGGAAACAAAGCCCGATCTATAGAATTTCGCAAGCCGATTCTGAAGCCGAAGAGTGAAAAGACGGGCGTTGATGAGAGCAAGGGGAAGGATTCCCCTGCCGCATTGCAGTCGCCGGAGATGGCTTCGGATAATTTATCAACGGTGGTGGGTTTGAGGAAGAAAGGGAGTTCCGGCATCTCGACTCTAAATCAACGGAAACTGAAGTTGTCGATGAGTGCTTCGTGCTCGTCAGATGCTTCATCTGATTCTTCTCACAGCAGGTCATCTACTGGGAAAATTAGTTGGAAGGGTAAGTTCCAAACGCCACCTGTAAAGAAAAAGCAGCAGTGCAGCTCTGAAATCGAGAAAAATGAGAATAAGGAGGAAAATGAGAATAATGTTGGGGCTGAAAGACAGGGTGCTGTGGTTATAAAAAGGTGTGCTTGGGTGACTCCGAATACTGGTATTGTTCTGTACATGCTTTCTGAATATTTGATATCTAAAGCGTGAACTATTTGATTTTGATTAAATCGGTACTTGGTTCGCATTATAAGGATTTATGTAAAAATGTATTGGACTATGATTGCCTGAATTGGGATGGGATCATAGTTTTGGCTCTAATTTGAGTTTTGGAGTCTGAAATACCATAATAATCTGGTCGGTGGGTACTGTTTGTATTAAGGCATTTATTGGGTTCCTCGAGTTGGATGACAGTGGAATAGGGAATGTTTTAGTAAATATTTCTGCGATAAGTTTGTGGTCGCATTTTGACCACCAAACACCAATAGTTATCAGTTGTGATTCTTTGATGATCTCGATCATCATAACACCAATAGTTATAGATGATAAAATGGATTTCAACTAATATTTGTAAGATAGTATCTGTTGACTGCAACATTTCCTTCATTTTATACTAACTGTTGAAGAAGCTATAAGTTTAACTATATATAGAGAGAGAAGCGAAGTGTATCATGATTTATGCATAGCCACTTGAGCTTTTTTTTTTCCGTACTTTTGCCATCTAGGACCTCCTGTGCTTCTTTTCACTTTGGTGATTTTCCTAAACTAGCCGTTTTATGAGCACGTGATATCATTGAGTTTTGGATGTAGATGCGATTTCTTGCTCTTTTGGTTCGTCTTTTTTCTATTGTTTATTGGTAAAATGTTGTTTGTTCTGAAAAATCTGGGCTGGGGAAACCAACATAACTCGTATGAGCTACAAATGATTTTGTTCTGAACATGAAATAGTAAATGAAAATTTAGGACTAAAGTTGTTCTTATAACTATAGCCTCATCAAGAAATCTTGGATTACTTTCCACGGCCCTGCCTGTACTGTGAGCTTCTAAATTCTAACCCATGGTCACCAAATTCCTCAATTTCCGTAGACTGAATTTGCATAATCACCACCATATCTAGGGAAGTTTGGCCACGTTCACTGTAAATCCTTGATATACCTATTGAAACATTGAATGGTGTTTTAGCTGTGGAGAAGCTATTACACTTTGTTGATGCACGATTTCTTTTATGGAGAAATAAAATGTGGATTTTCTTCTAGGGTCATAGAGTGTTTGAATTTGGCATTGGCCTCTGTACAAAGAACTTCTTTTTCTTAAGGCCTCACTCAGCATTCCAAGCTACATGCCTGTCTTACTATTTCTTTTTCTCTATCGTCAGACAACTAGATGATGTCTGTTGTGAGTTATTTGAATGAAAAATGTAGTTCCATTTCTTCATGTTATAAAAATTTCTTCTGCAATACCTTTATCTAACTGGTTTTCCTTTCTGCAAAGATCCATCATATGTGGCTTTCCATGACGAAGAATGGGGTCTTCCTGTTCATGATGACAAGTAATTCCACAAGCTTTCTTGCTACTTGATTTTGCCATTTCTGTTTGTTCCTTACCATGTAGTATCAACTATTTTCAGCTCTCATTTCCAAGATGCCTGCTTTTAATGATTTGCAGGAAACTTTTCGAACTGCTGACCTTTTCCACTGCTTTGGCCGAACTAGCATGGCCTGCCATTCTGAGTAAAAGGCATCTCTTTAGGTTCATTGGATTTGCTCCTTCTGTTACATCTATAAACAAATTGATCACAAAAACTGTTGTATATTGAAAATAATTAGTTCTGATCATTTTGGTTTGATCTGAATGCAGAGATGTCTTTCTGGACTTTGATCCAGTTGCTGTGTCAAAATTAAATGACAAGAAAATTGCAACAACAGGAAGTCCTGCCAGCTCTCTTCTGTCAGAAGTAAAGTTGCGGGCTGTAATTGAGAATGCACGTCAAATTTGTAAGGTATGTTGCTGTCAAAGAGTGAAAATGTTTGCTGAAGTATAGCATATTCTCTTCGCAATTGAACTTGAACTCTTGAACGGACATCAAAACTGGGGAGTAAGTAGTGACCAAGACTTTAGTTACTATGCATAAATTCAGTTCTATTTCCAAGATTATCAGCTGTGGCTGCTTCTGTTTCATACAGAAAAGTAAATGATATATGTGGTTTACATGAAGACAACTTGTTAACTCCCTGAAATTTATTAGCTATGATAAATGTGTTGAATTAGGCAATTAGCCATTCAACTGCTGCCTTGGAGAAGATTCATCGATTAAAGAAATCAATGAGAAATAAAGGTCCAAGATTGTTTCATTAAGAAAAATGAGGCTAATCATGGGTTTTGTCAAATGACATGTTTGAAGTAAATGGTTATTTACTATGGAGGTGATGCTTAATTATCTTTAAAAAAAAAAGAAGTGTAATGAAGGATTTTGTTATTGTTCTTGTGCTGTTAAGATATGTAAATACATTATGTATTTTATGCAGATCATAAATGAGGTTGGGTCTTTCGATAAATACATTTGGGGGTTTGTGAACTACAAGCCTATCGTCAATAATTTTCGGTACCCTCGCCAAGTTCCAATTAAAACATCAAAGGCAGATACAATAAGCAAAGATCTCGTTAAAAGAGGATTTCGAGGAGTTGGGCCCACAGTCGTCTACTCATTCATGCAAGTCGCTGGAATCACAAATGACCACCTTATCAGTTGTTTCAGATATCAAGATTGCATAATTGCATGTGATAGAAGGGGGAAAAGTGAGGGCATTACTTCCAAGAATGACGAGAAACTTTCCGGAGATATTATCAAGTTGGAATTGATTAGCAATATTGATGATATAAATTGTCCAGGTAGTTAATTTTCACGTTGGTGTTTTGTATTGATCCTCTGTGATGTATTGTGTAGTTTCACACACGTGTGCGGCTTATTGCACATTGAAGTTCATGTACAAATTATTATAAAAATATTATTGCCTTTCTTGTAGATTTCATATATTTACCATTGGTGTGCAGTGACTAATGATATGCAAAAATTAAAGTCTCAACTAGATCTACAAACAAGTTGAGTCGAGTTGAGCATAGACCTTGTCGAGTGTAGCTCGAACTTTTTCTCATTGCTCGAGCTCGACGAGCCATGTAAAATGCTGCTAGACTCGACACGTGAACAAAATAAAAATACTTGAGCTCGACTCGATGCTCGACATGGCTCGTTTCAGATGCCTGAACTACATTAAACATTCTCCACAATGCATGACCTTCGTCAAACATCAAGTGTCTTGCCTCCTGTCCTAGTTTCTTTAAACAGATCCGCACCTGAAGTCGGGCACTCTTGGAGAGCATCAAATTCCCCTCGCTCTCCCTACTCGGCCCTCTTCACAATTTTCCCGTCCAATTATTCTGCTGAAGGAACTTTCCCGAAATAGCAGCCGCTAGGGCTGCTTTGAAGTTGGGATCTTTGGTCAAGGTAGAAGCCATTTGTTCCACAAAGTGCTGTTGGAGTACTTGTGGTGTCTCGAATTTGCTCGTCTCTTGAGGACTTGAGTTCGGTTTGGTGAGATCAAGTGTGATTGTTTGTGCAGAGGAGCCCTGAGCATTCGAGCACAGGACTTTTCCAGGTTTGACGCTTCGATTGCTCGTGGGACTCGACTCGGGCTTCAAGGGGTGGGGATGGTTGTGTTCTCCTTCGTACGTTGCCACCACTATCGACTGATCTTCTACACTCCTTTGAACCTGAAGAGTGTCCAAAAGTAAGAAAATCTTTAAAACTATTTGGCAAGTACGTTTAACTTTGTTCATCAAACAATTCGAATTTTTTACCTTCTTCTTGACAGGACAAGTAGGAGCAAAAGAACATCTGAAGTAAGCTCTGGGAGAAGGATTGTCCCTAGTCACCTTCTGTCCATATTTCCTCCATTGATAACCATCTTTAACTATCTGAAAAAAAAAAAACATGCATAAACATATATACTCACTTCGTATACTTCGCAACTAACAGAACAATCTCGATTCATATACTTGGGAGGACTTACGAGGCTCGTGTCAGATGCCTCTGTTCGGACATGAACTCGCGAAATCTTGGCCTTGACGACTTCTTCCCTTGGTTTCTTGGGCGAATGAACTTCACCGCTCGAGCTGCTGTCCGTGGACCCCACATTAACATCCGTCCGGTCGAAAATAACATTGTTGATGCCCATCATTTCAGCTTTCCTCTTTCTTGATGCTGTAATAATATTATTATTACAATTTGCATTTTCCACCCCACAACTTTTGCCTGTGTGCTCTACCAACCGGTTTCTTAGCTCGGTGTAGTTCTCGCAGACCACAGTCAGCATTTCTGTTAGCTTCTTGTTTTCGGCACTCACCCTACACAGCTCCTCCATTAAAGCCCTTCTCTGCAAAATCCAAGATTTTTTTTTTTAAA